CAAGTCCCTGGTCCTTCCTTCCTTTCGACGTTATAGTAAAATCTGTCAGCTTTCTAGTGCCCTTTTCACTGATGAGTCAGGTGTATCATACAACTGCACGAAGCTGATAAATATTAGAGAATGTTCTCGAAATACCACATAATTTTATAGATCCATTAAAGCATATAGCAAAAACAAACGATGGAGAACTGAAGCAGGCATGCAACTATCTTGTGTTCAAGGTTAAACCAACAAGAAATTAAGTACATTCATTCATGTTCATAGCAAGATTTTAGCGTTTATATGCATCGTGCAATCTACTGGTGCAATTTACGTGAAATAAAGTTGTAATACAGGTTAAAACAAAATGAATTTGTGTTTACATATGAACCTTAAAATAGACGTGCTGAAAATGAAAAAAACATCAAATTATTACAAATTCAACTTGATATATTCCATGGGCGTTAAATAAACACTACCTCAAGCTGATTAGCAGCGTCATAAGATTACTAAAATTACTTTAGAAACCGACTTTTCTATCCAAATAATAACATATATTGCCAACTGAAAGCTGGCATTGCTGCAGAAAACTAATTTAGGTTATGAACATGTATTTTTGAAAGCAAGACAGTGGGAAAGTGAAGTGGGAAGACCTAGGTGAACACACGGAGGGGCACTCATTATTCAGTAGATAAAAAGAGCCTTACAAATCATAAAGAATAAGTAGTTTCTACTCGGTTACTGGTCTCATCCTTCCAAATTCCTTAATAACTAACTACCTCTGAGTGTCCATAGCGTACTGCGTTGTAGAGACCCTACACTGCCCCCCCCCCCTAGAAACAACTTCCCTAAGAACTTCGGTTCGATTAACTTATCTTCGGCAGCTATGTATAGAGTTTTCGATTGAGTGCATTTATTTTACACTGGCGAATATAGACTTGAACTTAGCTAGAACTGTGATATTACAATACGAAGATGCTGAATATAATAATATATTCCCATTTGTTTGTACATAAGGGACACCAGTTTACAGACACTGTCGATGTGTTAAATCATATACATAAAGTAGACATGTTCAAGATTATTCGAATACACAATGATTTATATAAGACAAAGTTAATGAAACAACATCGATAGTCACTCTACATCTGTACATCTATCCGAAACAAATTAAGGGTGTTCACCTAGAATTTTACGAAGTAAATTAGCGCTGCCATTCGCCAATATATTTGATTGCCCATCTTTCCTATGGAAGTTCAAATATCAGACTGTTATCAATTTCTTTATAGTTTGTGCATCCTAAAGTATCACCCAGTAGTCAACATCTACAAACTGTCAAGAGTACATTCATCATCAGAAGGGCAGTTCGCCCAGCAAGTCATCCATAAATCTTTGGAAAGAGTGTGTGAAGCATTCCAGAGACCAAATGACAAACGCACAAGCTCATATAATCCAAATGGGGTTGTAATGGTTGTCTTAGGTATATCTTCCTCAGCCACTGGAATATTGTGATATACGTGAACTAAGTCAATTTCAGTAAATATTATGGCAACTTGAGGACTATTAGTAAAGTTTTGAATGTATGATACTGGGTATCTGTCCGGGCTGGTTTGCCTATTTATGGCTCTATAATCACAACAAGAGCATCAATCAGTCTGACTTTTATTAGGCACCATGTGTAACGGCGAAGACTATTGACTATACGAAGGCCAAATAATCCCCAATTGGAGCATATAATCGAATTTGGTTTTAGCTATTTTTGGTTTATCTGAGGATAACCTCGTTAGTTTAGCGAAAACTGGTGGACCATGTTTTCCTACGGTCTGGCTAATTCCTGAACTAACCTTAGAATTCTGAGGCTTGGTTGATGTTAGAGTTGGTAATCCAGCTGGTATTTTCCGGAATTTTCGGTTGATACTTGTGGAGACTGGGCTAGATTCAACGAATGGTACTCGCTGTCTTCACTATCCTTATACCCTGAGGATTTTTCCATCGTCAGCCTTCCCTTCCAATTATCTACTAGTAAGTTAGGTCTAGGTCAACGACAGTGAAAATCCATGGAAGCTATTGCTTAAACCCAAGGTCAAGGGCCAGTGTTCTATGCCCGAAAGTTATGATTTCTTTATTGGCGGTCCGCAGTATGATGGGGGATTTCAGTCGTCCCGGCTCGACCTTTGTTTTTGGTATGACAATAAGTGCCTCTCCTGTATTAAACAAGAAGTCTGTGCTAGAGTTTTTATCTCTGATGTAGAATAGGGGACTTTCAGGGCACCCCTTCTATGTATTCACCACCTAAGAAGTTGATCGTTTCCCTGTTGCCTCTGGGGGAGTTTAGGCAACGTGCATTTTGTTGACTGTGCACTGAACTGCTAGTGATACAAACAGAATTGTCCTGTTGATCGAGTTTGTCTGGGTCTTCTATTTGATCTAGAACGTGCTCTATTAGGCAGTTTACGTCGGTTTTCCTGTCTTCACTTTATTTTTGTCAGAGTTCCAGTAGGTGATCGACCGTTGGCCACAAGCTCTGAGATTATTAAAAGGACTGAAACTTAATTTATTTTCTTAACAAAATTCGGAGCAGTCAGATATCAAGAATCTAAAACCATCGATCAATCCTAGTTTCTCTAAATAATTTTATTGCTGACTATCCCTAAAATTCTATTTCCTAAATACTACTGCCATCCCCTTCGAAATGATCTACTTGACCATCGACCCCAAATATTTTAGAATTCTCTGCCAAAGTACTTATCAGGCTCTCCGTAGTTCTGATTCTCCGATTCTATTCTTACTATTCTTCCGCTTTAAAAGTGAAAATCTTTATTTCTTGATTACTTCATTTTGCATTTTGTCAACACTTACTGTTTTGAGAGAATTATTGTGCTGAGTTATATGCAACTGATAAATAAGATGTAAAGCAGACTAGATGCATGCCATTTCTATAACTTTACGTCACCTTTCAGCTGTAGCAGCCAGAGTTTAGTTATAAATATTCTGTGCATTAATTTTCATCGGCGTTGTTGTTTCTGTTGTGTTGTTTGTATTCTGTAGTGCTTATACCTTAAGCGATGTCTGACAGTATCCCTAAGAGAGTGACTTTAAAACAGTGGATGTCTTATGAGTTTAGAAACAGCGATATTTAGAGAAATTCAAAAACCAACTTATACGATACTTATCAGAGACTTAAGTAGAGACATGCAGCAATTTAAGAAGCTTTCAAATTCACACAAAATGGTTTATATATTATGCCACGGTTACTACAAAGATTCACTTGTAAACAATAAGTTTTGTGTTTTATGGTTTGAAATGTTAGCGGTACTGCTTATTCGAAGATGATTAAAACAACCAATAGCCTGCACAGTCTTGACAATAATGAAATAATAATGCTACGCATAATTGCAATAGCAATTTTGTAACGATACTGTTTGTAAGCTTTACAATTTCTGCTTGTTACACATTGAATTATATCGGCATATCCCAAAGGGTGATGTATATCGCCAGTGTCCTACTAATGACTCTTTTTTTGGTTTGGTTGTGCTCTCTGAGGTGGATAGTTAATTTGCGAAGCTTTCATCACCCTACTAGGTGACATCTTCAGCGCATACTTCAGTTCGAAGTGAGCTGTTAGATTTCTCCACGAGTTTATTAATCATCTCTCCCGGTGACCTTGGACATGATTGGTTGTTTTTGTGTGTTTTCACACCTTCTAGGCTACTTGTATTGGAATTGATTGTTTCTTTGACTTGAACTTTGACCCTTTGTGTGTGAGGTTTCTTTCTTATTGGTTGATGAATTTTGTCTATCTTGATGTGTCTATTGATTGATGGTTCACTGAAATGCAAGCTTCTAAATTCTAGAATCACTACAAGACTCTTCAAAACTTTAGGAATTGACGTCTCACACAAACCAACAAAATCACTTCACTCACTTCTATGTCAACCAAAAGACTCAACAGCGAAAGAAGATAAAACTAACATCATCTACAAAATAAATTGTAACAACTGCGAAAAACACTACATTGGCCAAAGTGGATGTCCCCTTCGTCTTCGTATCCATGAACACAAACTAGCCGTCAAAAGATATGACATCCACTCCCTCATATCACTACATACAGACAACCACGGACATCAGTTCGACTGGGACAACGTTCAAATATTAGACAGAGGAAACAACAAGAATGCTAGAGAATTTTTAGAAGCTTGGCATTTCAGTGAACCATCAATCAATAGACACATCAAGATAGACAAAATTCATCAACCAATAAGAAAGAAACCTCACACACAAAGGGTCAAAGTTCAAGTCAAAGAAACAATCAATTCCAATACAAGTAGCCTAGAAGGTGTGAAAACACACAAAAACAACCAATCATGTCCAAGGTCACCGGGAGAGATGATTAATAAACTCGTGGAGAAATCTAACAGCTCACTTCGAACTGAAGTATGCGCTGAAGATGTCACCTAGTAGGGTGATGAAAGCTTCGCAAATTAACTATCCAGCTCAGAGAACACAATCACACTGAAATCATTCACCGAGCTACAAATCTTCTCTATCATATCTAATGACTCTATGAAATCCACTTAAAGGTGTTTTAACTTAACAAATATTAATTACTATTCGATATTTGGTTGTTGGCTTTATTCTCTGTGTTGTACCGTGTGACTTGGCTATACGCCTTCATGGCCATTTATCTCTTAAACCTGATTGTATTCATTATACACGTCTGATTTCAACCATTGCTTATCTTCATATTTATAACCTTCATAATGAATTTAACTTCATGAATTGATACAAACAAGAAACTATATTTTTAGAGTGTATTAACACTTTCTCACAATCATTGTTATTTAGTCTAGTAATTTGTGACTATGATAGTTTAGTGTTAAAGTTTTCTGTGTTAACATTTTTTTCCTGACGTTTTGTCAACATGCCTTGTGGAAGTGACAATAGGGTACAGAATCTAAATTAAAAAGCCTTGTGCTAACTAGTTCTATGTGCAAAATTTCTAGTGAAAATAAGAACAGGTAGATTAATGAGTAATGTATTTTAATATGTACAGTGTTTGATATGAGACAGAAGACAACACGCATTCATACATACACCTAAGTAAGCATTATATGATATAAAGGATAAAAGATCGTAACACTTCGAGACATTGAAAAGAAGAAGATAAATCATTGTTTTTCATATAATCTTGGTTCAGATTTAAGATACAACACTAAATGTACTGTTACCAAATCTTGAATGGATCATCACAACAAACATTTATATATATATATTTGTTGCATATATGTAAGGTCCCTTCAAATGCTCCTTAATGGACTGGTTTCGATAACATCATTATTCACAAGGTATTTTTTTTCATTACTGGTGTCTACACTGTTCATTGAATGTGTACGTATGAAAGGAATTGAGGTCGATGAAGTAAAGAGGAATACTGTGTTTTACAACAACAACAAAACATAACAAAGTAAGACATTCACTTACACAGACATATATCACGTGGTGTAATTTGTACAAAATGAGAATCAAATGTGTTGTGTGATATCTAAGAATGTACACCTAAATTTCTTGTGGAGATATGAATCAATATTCTTCAAGAATTATGGCCTGCACTGCCGTAACGTTGAGAATATTGTTTTTCTAATGAAAATATAAATTAAACTTGACTGCATAAACGATCATCGGGATCATTGTGATGAGATTGACGGGTATGTCTTTGTAGATTGTCACCAGTTTCATGATGATTCATATATGAAATGCATTCATCTGGTTTAAGTTGATTAAGTTTTATGGCAAAACTCGTCATATCAGTGGACATTTCTACATCATTATCGGCATGAGTAATGTTATTGTTATTATTATTATTGTTCAGTAAGTTAGCATCTTTCATATGTACTGAATAATTTCTATCGAAACCACTTTGTCCAACTGATTTTTGATAAATATTTGTTTCAAACATATTAAATAATTCTGGTTTTATTTTACCTTTTTGATGTTGTTTCTCTAAATGATTACCACCCTGTTGAATACTTGAACCATGTCCATTGGTACATACACCACTGTCACTACTACCTGTCGCTCCATCATTGATGATAATTCTTGAACCAGAAAAATTATTATCAATATCTTGAAATGTAACTCGGGTACATGGACGACGATATGATACATTACGAGAGATATTTGTTGGCGATGTTTTATCCCTGTTATGTGAATCTAAAGGTGTTACAGAGTTCGGTCTGAAAGCAGTATTTTGCGCTGATGGTCTGGATAAATTTGCCAAAGTAGCATAAGTTGGTTCAGGCACCATTGGTGATATTCCATGTCTCTGATTATTCATAACAGAAGAATTGACATTAGTTCCTCTACTCCGACTAGAATTTTGTCCTGCAAACTGTTCATAAGCATCACAGAATGAAATTTCCTGAGTTGTTCTACTCCGTGGTAGATTCATTTGTGATGGTGTATACGGCTGGTGTACTTCTGCGATTGTACCTTGGTTTTCATTTAGATAAGTTGACCCACCTAGACTGGGTGTTGCAACTGGTCTGAAATACTTGCTACTATTGTTACACTCATTACGATCTGGTTGATTTGTCGTAGTATCTGACTCTTCAGATAAAGTCGGTGGCCCAGATGGTAAAGAAATACAACGCGAATGAGGATGATACTGATTCGGCGCATCAACTGATTGATTTTGTACTTGATTAGTAAGATCGGGAAAACATCCATAAAGAGAATCACCTGCACTACCTCCACCGACTGTCAAGCCATTAACTTGATTGTTCACATGTTGGACATCACCATTGGTGCCGACAGGTAAACCTGCAGTAATCATTGTACCAGAAGTAATCCATGGTGGATAAGAGACATATGGCCATAAATTTGGATAGGCGCCGTTTATATTCATATGCATAGTCGGATGAAGTGATGAAGCACCAAATCCTTGATTATCACATTCATTAGGAAATATATCTTTTTGCAGGCAACAATCTTTGCTTCCATTGACACCAATGTAATTACTTGTATGCAGTAAACGAAACCGCCAGGCAGTCTTAACACTTAAACCAAACCATAGAATAAGCCAACATATCAAATACAGCACTGAAAGTATAGTATCCGTCAAAGCGATTTCAAGGCCTGTTTTCCAGTAACATTTAAGGATTGAACTCATTAAACAAATACGAATAATTAAGAGCCAAACAAACGTTACAGTTGCCACAATACTCAATCCTATGCGTGACCATCTTGGTAGAGGTGATTTTGTTGAAGAATTATTTGTTTCATTTAGCGTATGAATAGAGTTAGTTAGTTCTGTACTTGTTGAAAGTGGGATTCCACGATTACGTTTTAATGAGGTTGACATTTCACTAATGTTATTCTGAGACTGACTGCCCGGAAGAGGAGTATTAGATCGCTTAACGGTTTGACCATTTCTTCGACTTGATGGAGGCGGTCGCCAAAGTTTTGTTGTCACTGCAAGTGTGATAGGAAGATTTACAATAGCATCTTGATAAGGTGGTTCCATGCCAGTTGGTTCACCAACCATTGTTTCAATTGTACCAATAGAGTCAGGATTATTATTATTGGCTGTATCATAGTCGGTTGTTTTATTTGAAGTCATTCGATTATTTTTATTTATTGACGGGATTTCTCCAGAAATTAACAGTTGAGCATAATTAGTTACTGCTTCTTTAAATTTCGCTTCACCGTAAGCATAAATAGCCATAAGACAAATAATTATTGCTGGCAAACCAGCTGCACTCAAAATGACACAATACCATGGTGATATGTATCTTTGATCAGAATCAATTTGTATTACAATTGATCCTCCAGGATCACGTACACCAACGTAATACAGTTTATAAAATATTGATATTGTTTCAACATCTATTAGTAAGAAAACACTTGTCAGTGCTATATACATAGAGAATAGTAAACAAAAGATACGACTTGTAAAATAAAATGGTGCTGCATATTGTATAGTTAGCATAAATAAACTAATTATGAAACAGATGTATTCAACACTGATTTCAGATGGAATAGATGGATAAATATGACTTGGAAATGGTCGTTCATTCTCATAAACTGACTTGACATCACTAGTCAGTAATCCGTTAATTTCTTGATTAATTTTAATACCGAGGTGTTGTGTGTAATATGCTGTATACTTTTCAGCTGCAGACTGACCGAATAATCTGTCAACGTTTGAGTGAAATACATAGCCTTGAAATTAAAAGAGAAAAAAACAGGAGTGAAAGTAAACAATCTCTTACATAATATTTGAATTGAAATAAGCAGATTTAAATACTTAAGGGCTCGATACATCGTTTTACTTGACAAGAGAACAGTTGAGAATCACAGAGGAATAAATTATTGCTAGCAAATACTTTATGGTCATGTTTATGGTAGTCATCTCCTGCAGACAGCAAGTTCATCTGTTGGATTAAGACGGAGTAGCTCATAATTTCCAGTTTCTTCATGTTCACCGTACTTCCTAATCGGAATCTATTATCGTCTGCTAATAACTGTCATTGAACTTAATGTCGCCTCAGCAATATCCAGGAAATGTGAACTTATTACTTTTAGATAGTAAAAGACAGACAGTATCAGCAACAAATTAATTCCAATTTTTAAGCTAAAACCAAAATATTATAAATTATTTAAAATAATCCTAGCGTGTTTAAGAAAAAATCAAAACACGATTTTTCTGAACGTTTCGCTGTTTAAGTCACAGCTTCTTCAGCAGAATTATTCGGATTTTATAAAATCCGTAAAATCTTGATTTTTTCTTAAACACGCTGGGATTATTTTAAATAATTTATAATGATTCATTCTGGCTTGGCGCTAAAATTATTCCAGGAAATTCGTAACATCTACGGTCTGGAAACTTATAAAACCAAAATAAACAGGAGAAACATTCAGGTAATTTTACTTAGATCCCCAAATGATATACCACAAGATTATTTTACTTCATGAAGTGTCACTTGTTTGCGTTTAGCTTTTTACATTTGTTTACGACCAAATTTTAAAAACATTCTTCTGGTAAATACGTTAATATAAGAACTGGGCTCGATAAAGACAATGTCACTTCTCTGCACTAGAGATGTTTTTAATGTTATCATGTAGTATATGGAAATTGATGAACTAGATATTTGGTGTATGCTATCGGCAGGATTTATGAGTAGTATATAGGCACAGATACAAATATGTATAGCTCGGTGTTACTCGCGACCATGCACATGGTCCGGGTTCGATCCCCTGCCGACGCACACCCGATATCTATGGTCGGCCTGCAAAATTTGGGCTACCGACATCCATGCTGAAAATTCCATACTTGTACTGAAAATACGGTGTGGCATCAAGCTGTAATCAAAAATATTTAAAAAATATCGAATGGCGGGGAGATAGATTTAATGGTGAAGAGAAGAAGACAAAGAAGTACAATATGAAGGGCAAAAGTAGCACAATACTGAAGATATATGCAAATCATGATTCTAATATATGATATGTATATGTATTTTGCCTAAAACTGTGTGTCGAGTTGCCAACATATAGTTTCGTTGCCCAATACTATTGTATTCTACTGTTACACCTATTCAATTATGACGTCACTCAGTTGGCTACTCACCTTCTTTGTTTTTTGCATGTTTCTCTGAAGTTTGTACTTTTATACTTTATTCAGTCATTGAGTTGAACCAGGAAATCTCATATGTTGTAAACTACTTTTGTAAAGTATAATCTATTTTATTATGATTGACTTAAGATAAATTTACTGTGTTCACCAAAATGTTCAACAGCAGTAGTGAGTGCACATAATTTCATCTAAATACAAGATAGATAAGGCTGTTCCCCACCTGTTATGGACAGTATAGACTGTTATATATACAGAAACTCAATGAATATTACATAATTATTAAAAGAACTAAATCGATTACGCAACAATTTAACTTTGTGGTCAGCATAAAATATTTTTTTCAGTCAAGACAACTAAAACTACTAGAGAAAATGAATTGGCTGACAAGGTAGATCCACTTAATTTTGTCTGTGTCTCTGTATGAAAAAATGCAACGTTGTGAGAGCTCCGTCTGACAAGTAGTTTTCTGTCACTCAATGTAGACGTCAGAATTACATACCAAAATCAACTGTGACAAATTCTAGACTGTAGAAATTTGTAACAAAGATATTCTGGATGTTTGTTTTCCACTATTGTGAAGTGTTATGACATATAGAAACAGACTAATAAAATGTATCAGTAGGGAAGACTAAATTACTAAAACATTCACTACTATAATAAAAGATGGGCCCTTTCACTATAGTGAGGGCTAAGTTGAATTTCGTGACATTTGTCTTACCACCAGGTGAATGACCGTTACCTAAAATTTACGTCAGATGATCAACTCTTGTAGAGAAATTTCAGACTATCAGCTGAACAGTCCCTGTGATAAAAATCAAAATAAGTAAGTATAATAAAGGGAAACCGGTATAACTGAGGTTATCTGAAAAATGCTCTTTAGTATTCATCCATCACAGTAAGGTATGCGACATTCAGGAGTCAATAAGAAATTTCTCCAGCAACGAAGTTACTAACTTTAATTCCTCCCACCCCCAAAAACCATGAACATATACTTCTTTATATGCTTCAATTCAGTAGCATGTTAGTTCACAAATGTGTGCTACAGTATGATTTGACTTTAATTTCTCTTTTAGGTTCAGCACAGCATCACTTCCAATAAAACCTGTATGAAAAGATTCATTTACTTAGTGATACGGTTTGAAATGCTATTCACTACTACGAGAATTAAGAGAAACGGAAGGTGTAAATATATACGAATAAAATGAAAAAAAAATGAAAGAGTCCAACTCCACAATATCCTTTCTTGACGTCCAACTAACAAGACGAGAACAGGATGGAACACTGAAAAGGTCTATCCACAGAAAATCGACGTAGAACGGACAGCTTACTAACTTTCACAGTTGGGTACCCCTATACACCAAACGAAGCCTGATCCGTTCACTCAGCTACAGAGTTCGCAGAATTTGCACCCCGGACACCATAGAAGATGAACTGGACAACCTTAAGAGAATCCTCGTCGAGAATTGCTATCCAGAAAGATTTATTGCAAAATCTATGAATCCTAGACCAGAAAAGCCGCCCATACTTAGCGTCAAGAAAAAACTACTCTACATGAATCTTCAATTCAATGGAGATTTATCTGCGGAAACACTAAAAAATCGACTGTCGCGCTCACTTAAGAAGACCTTCTTCGCAGCTGAACTACGACAAACCTTCTCCACAAAACCTATGATTCATGTGAACGTGAAGGATAAGCTACCGCTGCTGGCCTCATCAATGTGCATTTATCAATTCACCTGCTCGTGTGGAGCCAGGTATGTCGGCCGTACCCAGCGCTCGCTTTCCAAACGTATCACCGAGCACTTACCAACATGGTTTTACAAAGGAGAAAATCGATGCCCCCGCAGTTCCATCTTAGAACATCTGATAGAATCCGGACACCAAGCTACACCACAAACAAACTTCAAAGTCGTCTACAGAGTAAGAAGTAGTCTTCCTAAAGGTGTACGAATCAGACTTCTTCAAACTGCAGAAGCAATGGCAATTCACTTGCTAAGTCCTGAACTCTGCATACAGAAGAAGTTCGTTCAATCACTACACTTGCAATGGACGTAATCTATCTTATTAGCCGACAAGCAAATTCTACCTAATCTTTTCTTCTGTCTCTTCATTAGTATTATTTCGTCTTCTCAATTGTAATATTTTACATTTTCAACTTTCCTGTTCTCTACCTCCACCCGATTCAATTTCTACACCTCACTACCACTGTTACTGACTTGAACAACGCTCAATTTCTAGTCATTTATGTTACGTCATCCAACTTATTTGCTCAATTTCAATTCTAATTATTCTCTACCTCTAATTACATAAGTTGCTACCCTGACCTAAGTTGAAACATTTTAGTCAATTATATTACGTCATCTAGCTTACTTATTCAATCTTACTTTAGTTGCTGTGTGATTAACTTTGTTTCTATATTACATCATTCTTGTATTAACTAATCAATTATCTAAACTTGACAAACCTCATGTACACACACACACAAATAATTATATATAAATGCGATCGTACAGGTATGTGAATGAATTCGCCGAAAAGAGTCTCTTTGCTGAACGTCTTCTCTTTTTCATAAAATGAAAAAGTATATGTGGATTTCCAGTCTATTATTTTATCTATGTTGACGTGATGTAGTTCTGGAAATGTCATCAGCAAGTACATTTGTTCAATAGCTTTTATATGCGTGTCACCGATCTAATTAAAAATACTCACGTTTTGTAACACGAATCACTTCTCTTGAAAAGTAATTGAAACCCTAGAAGTATTTGGAAATACTGTCGTGTATTTTCTTTCATTCCTTCACGTTTCCAGTGGAACAGTGGGCTTCAAGCTAGAGACTTGGAGTTTCTGTAGCAATGTTTATTTTTACAGGATGGGGTTGCTAGCCTAATGCCCAACCTTTCCTCTTTACCAGCTTTATTACTGGCTTGGAGAGGTGAAGGAGTGCGTCGGTGGCCGGGGGTCGAACCCCGGACCACGTGCATGATCGGCGGGCTTCCTAACCGCTGTGCCGCCGACGCACTGTCGTGTATTGGAGATGTATTATTCGTTAGTAATACCTGTAGCATAATGGGGTTCAAGTATCCCCACAAGTCACCGTTTTCAATAGATAACTTTTAATTATCTGTATTACATTCCCCTTAACGATGAATAATAAATTTCACCAACAAGTGTGGGGTATTAAACAAAATAAGTTATTTGCTAGGAAATGTAGAATTGAAAATTCTTCACTAGTGGTTCACTGAAAGCCAATTTAAAACCAGATATATTATACCCCAAACTTTTTGAATTCATATGTGACGTAATTTATGATACTTGGTGATAATAAGCAAAGCGTTTCTAGAATTTTGAAGAATTATAACCTTTGTACTTGAGGCTTAGCTATTTAGGTGACGATAATCTAACTGACACAGATGTTTTGACTACTGAAGTTTACTGATTGCCTTTGTAAACTCTTCGGCATTACTTGACATTTGAAATTTAGACTATTACTAATACATATTTTGCGTATTTTTTAATATGAATTACCCGTGGCCTCACCAGGAGTTAAACCTAAGATATACCGGTCAGGAATTCTGGATTCAATCCTTCC